TAGTATTATTATTTAGTTTAATTATTATTTTTCATATTCATAATCTCATGTTAGAGATTACATAGTCTTAAAAATTAGTCTTAAAATCCATCTCAAAAATAGATTTATTAAGTGGCCCGCATATCTCCATATGAGGGCTTGGCCGCATAGAAACCGGGTCCTTTTTTAAAACTATTTTGATGCAATATTATAATATTATAATAATTATATAGACATCCAAAGAAGGAAACAATGTCTCAATATTCACATATTTTTGCAAATAATGAAACTACATAATATACACCCCCAATGTTTTTTTTATAACTCAAAAAACACTATTTTTAGAGATTTTTTGAATTTGTTTTGGCCGAAACTTGCTAATTTTCTCCGATCTGACACACCGATCCACTGATCTGAGATGGTATTTTGGGAGGCTGATTCGATCATCGATCCGTTTTTTTAAAATGTTGGTTTGTAATGTTGAGTGCTACTATGTTTTGTCAGTTTTCGTAGCACTCATTATTTTCATGTTCTGGGTTCTTCATGATTCTTATCTTGTTTGCAAAACTGGAAGTGGTTTGTCCATTACCATGCTTTTTAATCATAATTTGTATGATGTTGTTTTATTGTTACAAGTAAGGCCACAACGATATTTGCTCTTACCCAATTGAACTTTTTAACCTATTTGCTATCTGTAAACCTTATACATGATTTGATTGTTTTTTTATGTAACTCTAACACCTGTTATCCTTGTTTAATTGAATTACATGATATCATGTTAAACGCCTTATGTTTCTTTAGATATCATGAGCAATGTTCGCAAAACAGGCCGGTCTAACCGTTAACCGCCCAGTTAGATCGGAACCGGTAGTGGCCGGTTCTGCTTTTGGTCGGTTTTGGTGATCTACCGATTTTCTTAAAGTTTAAATAGAATACTTCACATTTATATCAAATATTTTAGAATGATGTATTGGTTAGCACTGGCGACTATACTTTGTACGAACCGTGGTTCGAATCCCGCCATCAGCAGCTTTCTTTTTAAACATTTGGTTCATTTTAACAATTCTGAGAATTCATTATATTGGTAAGAATTTAAAAAAATTTACTTGCCCACATGAATCGAACTTGAAAGTTCTTGTAAAGAAATAATTTGTTATTAAACCCACTAACCAATGCACCATCTACTATTTAGTTGCCTATTAGATCTAGTAACCAATATGTTATTTACTACGTATTTACAAAAAGAATGGTCTATATTGTATAAAACTTATTTTTTTTCATTTTCTTTTAAAAAAAGAGTTGGTCAAGTCGATTTTTTAACACTATTTTAATATTATTTACATTATGGTAAAGATTAAAAAAAATTGTGGTCATTGATACTTACTTTTATATTTTCCCATCTTTTTCAGAAAATTTTAAAAATACCCCTAGGCACAAATTGAGTCGTTAAAATCCATTTTTTTCAGTAATTTTCAACTTCATTTGAGTGTGTTTTGTTTTAATCGCATTCTTTATATGCCTTTCATATTTTAGTAGATTTTTTTTGTATCTTTTTTATTTTTTTCAGTACTTTTTTGATTCTTCGGGACTTGCCCGGTTAGAACGGTTGAATCGGCCGGTTTACCGGTTAGACCGGTTAAATCGTTATGGGCCCATGTCCGGTTAACCGTTCCTGTTCGATTTTGCGAACACTGGTCATGAGAGACTTAGTCCCCAGTCAAGCCCTCTAGTTGATTCTTAAGTCATGTTGAATCTGTGTGGAAATGCTGTCTGATTCCCTTTTTGTCAGAATATAATGAATTTGAGCTCGAGCATGATGGATGGGTATAAGATCTGTATCTTAACATGTAGAGATCCCAATGTAGGGCAAATACTAGAAGCCCATGTGGGGAAAATGGATGTTGCATCTCGTTATAGAAAAAGGGTTAGACTTCAACATTCCTTTGTGATACGACAGAGGAATTAAAAGTAGATGACATGAATGGAAGATCATATCACCCTGGAATCAGAATTATCAAATATTATACTGTTATTCCTTTGAGGATGCTTCCATTGTATTCTGGCAAATATATCTAACAGTCCGATGTATTTATAATTGATGGGGCTGTATAGGGCTGAGACATTCTATAAGATGGGACAAGAACATTATGTGTGATATTTATTTGGTTAAATTATTTTCAAAATGTAGGTTTCTTCCATAGATGAAAGATGTAGCCATGTTGCCTTGTATGTTTAGAATATGAGATGCATAATTAATGTTTGGAGACAGCCTGATACTTCTAGGTAAGAAGTGTGGGTTCTGCCTGTAGGGCAAGGGGTGGCAATGTGCAACATTGCGCATCTTTAGTTTCATTTCTTTCTGAGATGGGATTGAGACTTGGTACTTCACAAGTGAAGATTAATGGACCAACCTATGAATTGAAGCTCTTGGTAGCAGCATAATCTTCCAGGGCTCGACGTGACATTCAAAATCGATATTCATTACGGTAATAACCATCAAATCAATGTTTTGACAGTGATTTGGAGCAACTGGGACCCTTCAGAATATGACATTATTCCAATGTTGGATCCATACTCCATTGTCCAACATGGACTGGATGATGAGGACCTCATCATTACAGCTTTTTGATTGTCAATAAGATTCTAATGAGCTCTCTTAAATGCGAGCACCTCAGACAAGGGATGGACTTTTCTTGATTAACCCTATGATTGTTATAATGTACAAGTTTAGAGGCTTTGAATTTCATTCGTTGCCAGAAGGAGAAAGTGCTTAGAATGTCTTTCTTTCTTGGCAATGGAAATGGCCCTTATTCTTAAGGAATAGATCGATACACTGCAATATGGTCCCAGAAATTTAATTTTTTGTCTCAAGATCCGTGCATCACTTGGTTTTATTTTACCATAGTTGGCTAGTGCACCAGCTGATTTGTGTTTGCCTTGTTAACATTATGACCATCCTTTCACCTGTTTTCTATCCTATTAGGATTTTCTTGCTTGTATAGCTCTCCTCGTGTGTTGGGAGTACATGCATTGGTTAGAGTCATGAGGTTCCATTTCAATTTTAGAATCCCTGATGCCAAAAGAGTCTCGCAATTGAATTGGAACCCAGAAACTTCACACCTAACTTGAAGACAAGCAAATGATAGTGATCTTTTGTTCACATGAATCTGAGAGAAAGAAACTTCCAAGCTGTAGTTATCCTATTATCTCGTGTTTCTGCAGGTCTCATGAAAGGGCTGAAATTGCATACATGTGCATCAAATTTGTGTATTAATCTGCATCTTGTAAAATGCAGGTATCAAGCCAAGCTTCAAGAAAACCTCATGTACCTGGCTGCTATTGCTGATTCTCAGCCACAGCCGCCAACTGTCCATGCCCAGGTCAGTTTTCTCAACCTACTTCTCTACTTTAAATAATATAAGAACGATAATGGCTATATAAAATTTTGCAGAAAGTACAGTGTATCCATATGGTATTATGAACACGATAGTCCTAAGGTTTCTTAATATCTCATCTAGTTGGATGCTGATGCAGGGAGAGTGGGTCCTAGGAAACGTCTCACTAGTTGAATTTTGTGTGTCCCTGTCTACCCCCATGGGACCAACTCATTCATTGGGCATTTATTACTTCCTTACAACCATGTCGTTACCAAGGCATTATTTATCATCCTCTTCCTATTAATTGCCCTCTCGTTTTGCAAGATTGGAAAAGTTACTTCCTGGCTGCCTTTGTGTGCGTGTGTGTGATTGAGAGAGAGAGAGAGAGAGAGAGAGAGAGAGAGACTAATGTCACTCCCATGGCACATCATCATCATCATTCATCAAGATCCAATTTCTTACACTGCTGTTTCACATCATCTTCCATTCCTTCACAGTTCTCTCCAAATGCGGCCATGCAACCTGGTGCCCATTACCTCCAACACCGCCAACCCCAACAGATGACCCCCCAAGCTGCCCTCATGGCCGCCCGCTCCCCCATGCTCTATGCCCAACAGCCACTCTCTGCCCTCCAACAGCACCAACACCAACAACAGCAAGCGCTCCATAGCCAACTTGCAATGACCTCATCAGCCGCGAACAATGGCCTCCACATGCTTCATAGTGATACGACCAACTTAGGTGGCAGTGGTGGGGCGATGGTTTCGGGAGGTTTCCCTGACTTCGGTCGAGGCTCCGGCAGTTCAGGCAACTTGGGCAGCGGCTCAGGCAATTTGGGCAGCACGAGCGATGCCATGGCAGGAGGCAGCCGAGACCGAAAAGCTGATTTGGTGGGCGGTGATATGCAAAATTCAGATGGTCGAGGGGCAAGCTCATCGGCTCAAAATGCTGATGCTTCGGAGCCACTCTATCTAAAGGCTTCTGAGGAGGAGGGTAATTGATGTGTTTCGAAGTTAGGTCGAATATGGTGCTTTTGTAGTGGTTTTAACTTCAGGTCTGAGAAGGGAGGTTGAGAGGTAGATTTCCTTTGTTTTTTATGTGCCGGTACGTTGAAACTTAAGTTTAAGGCGTAGGGGTTTGTGGTTTAGGGCTTAAGAGATTAGAGATTAGGGTGTCTTTGGTGTTGGACATGCTTTCTAGGGCATTAGTTTTTGTAAATTTGTAGGTTTGTTGTGGAGATGGACGGTGTTGGGTGTGTTTGAGCTTTGGTTTTAGAAGCTTTTATGGATTGATGAAAAGAACATCTGTTTTACTGCCAGAGAATAGAAGCTACAATTTAGCGGTTCATTTATGGAGGTTTGACTTGGTACATGGTAGTAAAGAGCTTGCACGTTGTGGTCTATAGTTTTCTAAATTGAATTGGAATTAAATACATGTCCGGACATCTCCTCATTGCCTTTTATTAGTGGGCTTAAATTGATTAAGGCCCTGTTTGGTGATTTGAGGACGCCATTGCCTAGAGGACCTCGGAAAAACTCGAAGAATGAGAAAAAAGGTAGTAGTAGAAAGCTGTGGCTGGAAGCTGAGAATCCCTTATTGCTAACCTATCTGTGAAAATTAAAAAGCGAAAATGTAGTTTTTCCAGCGAGGAGGTAGTCCCATGTCACTCGACTTAGAAAGAAGGTTTTCCCTAGAAGGAATCACTCCCAGGCAAAAAAGTGTATCCGCAGTAATGGAGGAGGCATCCCTCCAATCACGTTTCGTTCCCATAATCTTGAGAAATCAGCAGCGTACCCTTGAGGTGCACTGTAGTTTTCCCCAAAATTGGGGACCCCTTCTTTTGAGAAATCAGCAGCGTATCCCTTGAGGTGCACGATACTTTTCCACAGAAATGGGGAAAAGCGTGAAAACACGGAGCTCCACATTTTTACGCTTTTCTTCATTTGCAAGCAGGGTAAAACGTGGTAACTGAGAAAGCAGGTCATTTTCTTCTATTTTCACTTATAAACCCCTATGTGGATCTCACTTGTTGCACAAGGTTCATCCTTAACTGGCTGCCAAGTCACAGGCCTAATTTTACACATTTCTTTTATCCTGAGAGAGAGAGAGAGAGCTGATTTTAAAGCATTCTTTCTTTCCTCCTTGAGAGAGAGGAGCATTCTTTTATGTACATATTCTATGCTGGTTCTTTGTTTTTGCTTTGATAGGTAGAAAAGCGATAAGGCCATTTACTTTTGCCACACGGAAGTTACAATTACGTTTGGCTATTAGATTTGAAAAATGTGAGCCATTGATCGGATTCAAAGGCCAAACCGTATTTTTTCAAACTTCATGACCTCTTTCAAGCTATCCGATTTTACATATCTAGTTAGGGTATAAATGATAGTACACAATATCTGGATTGTTAGGAATGCCCAAGTCAAAGCTAATCGTAATCCCTAGTACCTGGTCTGATCGTATACTGTCTCTTGATTGTTAGGCTTGCTCAAGCCACATTGAATATTCTTAGTGCCCAACCAAGGTTTTTTAAAATACCGTTTCGGATAAGAACCGGTCCATCCATATCAAGAATCATCGAGGACAAAATCGATTCTCACAAAATATCGATAATCAGCTTGCTCTCCTTATGACACAAGCCTATTCTGTAAGTGAGCTGGTTCCTGGTTCCTACTTTTTTTACCATTAGTTTTTGAATTTTTTTTCCAAGGCAGACTTATAGGTTACCCCATCTTCCAATTTTAAAATTTGTTGTAACTTATTATTTTTTAATTTTTAATTAATTCGAAGTCGGATGACCCAGTATATTATGATACCATTTATCTTTGTTATAGAGAGGTCAGAACTATTTATAGTCATTCGATGTCAAATTAGATGACTTAAAATGTCTCATGAGGTTTGATAATTTTTTTTTTTAACGTTGAGTCTAATCAATGACACTCTTACAATCATCTGATTTAAAATATGATGGACAATAATTGTTACCTCTTTGTACGAAAAGTAAATGGTCTCTTTGTATACTTTCTCTAAACATAAATCTTTAGTGCTTTCTCTCTCACCTCATGGAAAATACTCGTGTGTAGTAAAAGAAAGACCTATGTGATTTTTTATCGAGGAATAATATATATATTTACCTTTTTGTTTTGGCAAAAGAACAGGTGGTCTTATTATAACAACATATACTTCAAAATAAAATTAACATGACGTAAACCATGATCTTAAAACTTGATGCCATTGAAATAACTATGCACTGTGCTTGAGAATAAAAATAAGATTGTATGAAATAAAAGAGAAGAGTGCTGGAGATTACCCCAATCAGTCTTTTTTACACCTCACACCGAGTCACCACCATCCGATAGCGCGGGATCGATGATTTTGCTTCAATCTCAAATCGTGAAAGCAAGTTTAGGTGAAGCCACACTAATAGAACATGAACCCCTTTAATCACAAACTCAAATCCTAGGTGAATTCCCTTAGCAACCTAGTTTGAGAGAGATGTATTCTCTTTTTGCTAACCCTAAAAACCCTTAGCATCTATAGTTGAGAAATAAAAGAGAGAAGAACTCTATAACCTAAACCCTTAGGTTCTTTCACAATATGGGAGAGAGAGATCAAACATGAGAGAGAGATAAAAAGATAAGGTGTAGAGATCTTGGCTTGCCTCTTTTTTAGATATTGAACATGAACCGTCGATCAATGGTGACTTGTGGGATGAGAGATCTGAGCCATCCATTTCATAGATGGGCCATCAACATTATAGAAAGTATATGAACCCTTTTCCCCTTTTTCTAAACCATTTTTCCATCAATAAAAAATAAGTTAAATTAATTTTAATTCAATATTATGCATTCCATAAAATAGCACATCTCTACACATATTTTCTATAAAAGCTATCAAAGATATATCAAGTCAATATCTACTTCCATATTAAGTCAATATATGGTCAATACATACTCAATCCATAATTTGACCATATGTCACAATTTAAAGTTACCAAAACATAAGGTCACATGGACTATAAAAGAGGTGGAGCGTGCCACCCATGGTAGGCACATGTAGGCCCCATCTTCTACAAACATGATGGGTCCATGTGCACAATGGGTCCCCATGATTATAATTTTTATACATTTAAAATTAACAAAATAATTTTTAATGAATATTAAAACATTATAAAATCAATATATTTAATTTTATAAATAAAAAAATTATAAATAAAATATCCAAAGGTTCATAAAAATTCAAATAAAAATTCTAAAATAATCATTATCATAAAACAAACACAATTAAATTAATTTGACGGGAAATGAATCCATATGGTTTAAGAATTGAATCAACAATCATGGGGCACTTCACCTTCAAATGTGGACTACGGACCACACTTGCTTTATCAAACCGACCCAATATTTCCCATGACCCACAGTCCAAGTAGGGGCTCATTACCGGGTCACCAAAGTCTGGCCGATGAGCCAAAGGGTCGCAATCCCAGTCTGTGGTATTCAGGTTATCATCCCTAGAGACGTGTTAAGATCACCTAGACTTGATGCGACCACAGCTCTTATGGTGCATAGGGGTATCTCTCACACATGCTACGCTTCACCCTAAAATCTAGATTTCTGGCTTTTCCGAACGATCTATCGATATGCATGCCATGTGATGGCACATGAATGAGGTTTTGGCCCCCATCTCTATAGGCCACTATCACATACAATGATCACATAGTCCCTCGGCTCACTCATTCGGGCATGTTCTCCGACCTCATCAAGGGCAAACCCATGAACCCTCATCGGTTTGTTCTTCATGCCCAGGTAACATGGGTTTTTTCCAACCGACTAACTTAGATCGTCAAGCATAATCCGGTATCTTGAAACATCGTTTGCATAGTATGGTCCATGAGAGACCACACTTCTGCTGAGTTCATGTTCCACTATATTTTTTCATTTTACAAGCACTCATAAGGCCTTTAAAGGCCACATAAACCTAACATGTAGGTCATTTACTCCGTTTAACTGCCTCTTGAGTTATATTTAATAGGCAACTCTCCTAAAATATTTCTCATCGCCAACTTATCATCTTTATCCAAACTGTAAGTTAAGGGCAATTAATGTTAAACAATTATTGCCTTGTAGACCTGGGATCATCTAAACTAAGGTGCACATTTTGGATTGTCAGCAGACGTCTAAATAGAGAAACGACATCTTAATATTCACATATTTTTATAAAATAATGAAAGTGCATAATGCACTACCAGTATTATTTTTTTGAAACTCAAAAATACCATTTTTAAGGATTTTTAATAAATTTTTGGAAGTTTTTTGAGGTCACAATCGATTGATCCAACCGATTCTCTGATCTAAATTGCAGATCTACCAATCCATTATGGTTTTTGAGGGGGCCAATCCAAATCACCAATCCATTTTTGTTTTTAACCTTGTGCCCAACTAAGGATGCCGGATTGCTATAGTGTCGCTCCATTAGGTATTTGCTTCAAACTTTCTTCATTAACTTTGAACTTTCATTAGTTCTTAGAGCATGTTCCCATGCGATAACACCGTGCACTTGCTCGACCGGGTAAAAAGATGCACCCAAACAATCCACTGAGAGTTTTTCCTATACTGTAAAACCCTCAAACCGATCATCTCAACCTTGACATTCCCCTCAAACCGATCATCTCAACCTTGACATTCATAGGGACTTTTAGCCCTAAAAATAGTTCTTCTGACACATTATCTGGACTGTCCATTTTCGAGATATTTAAGTGTTAATAGATTTTCTTGATCCTTACAATTTCTGAAACTTTAAATCTCACAATTAGGGGTAGCAATAAATTTTCATATCATCACAAGAATTTACAACGCCGAAATTATATTTTCAACACAGTTTTGAAGTGCACCTTACTTTTAGAATATGAGGTTTACATTTTATACAAACCTCACCGTGTAAGAATATTGATTGGTTCCTAAAAAGAATTGCCCTGTTTTCTAACAAAACCAAGCAAGCCCATGCAAGACCCAATTATGTAGGGACTCATACTGGTTTCCCCAATAGTTCCAATCTTGTTCGAGTGATTCTAAGTGTATTGTTGATTTCCGCAGTTGTTCCAATCTTGTTCGCAAGTGATTCTAAGGCGTATTGTTGATTTCCCCAATAGTTCCAATCTTGTTCGAGTGATTCTAAGGTGTATTGTTGATTTTTTAAAGGAAATGCATATGATGAAATTATTTATGTTCAATACAAAGAGGTTACAATTATTATTGACTATTAAATATGAAATAAAGTAGTTGAAGATATTTCATTGATTGGACACAACGTTCAAAATAAATTTCTTGAATATTGTGACATACTTCAATTTATCGGATTTTACATCTAATGACTGAAAATAATTGTAACCTCTTTATACTAACAATCCTATTTTCAAAGTAGTACTTTGTGCTTCCCACCAATCAACTATCAATATCAAGTATCAATCAATACAAAAAAGGAAAATTGTTTTATGCGGACAGGACCGCATTTTGTTTTACAATATGCGGTCTTCAGGTATAAAACATTCATCTTAAAGATGAATGCAAATAGGCGGTCCATCTAAAAACAAGTGTAACTAACGGTACAAATGTTTTCTTAATATGACTATTATTTCGGGGTAGTGATGTCATGTAACGGTTGTATCATAATATAATGCAACAATCTTCAAAAACCATGTTAGGCATTTGTTTGATCCAACTTTTGAAATATACACTCTTTTCATTCTAATGAACAATCGCAAAAAAAAAAAAAAAACAACCTAAAAGGTCTCTTTTTAGCTCGATTAACATAGGCCGTCCAGTTTGATAAGATTCTTAGATCTAAGCCTTAGAAGGAATTTTTTTTCTTTTCTATTTTTTTAGATGGTTTTATTATCATTAGATGAAGAGCGTTAAAGAAGAAAAAAATGATTTTGAGTTTGTAACGACTAAGATATTGAAATTCACCAAATGAATGGCCTATATTCATTGTTAGAAGGGTCTAATTTTGACCATATCTAAGATTCAAATTAAACTTTTTTTTTTTTTGTATTGATTATTGAGATGAACAGAGTATGTGTGCAAAATTTTGGATCACACGAATACCACAAATATAGTTCTCTAAAAGTGTGGTTGTATTAAACTATGATATAACTGTTGCATGAAATCACTGCATGTATATATATATATGAAAAATCTTGGGTGAGCCCACTAGCTTATATGAAAAAATGAGTTCAACGGCCCAGATTGAATCTGGGCCGATCTGATGATCACAGATATCTGATAATATTTGATTTTTTTTTTCTACAAATTCAAATCATTTAAAAATTTAGGCATGTGTTATTCTCATCAAGCCGCACATAATAAAAATATATATAAAAAATAAGTCAAAAAAAAAAATTGACCAAATACCTCCAAAACTTTTCGAGGGTATTTTGATCAATTTATTTCAAGTAAAATATTTTTTTGATATTTTTTGAAGATTCACCTATTTCTGATGTACATACGGTCCAAATTTCAAGTGATTTTATTGTGAGCTAGTGGGATTTTCTAGAGTTATCCTCCCTAAAACAATAGATTCAAGTTAGAATTACTTATGAAGTATCTTTTTACCCTATTACCCCCACATTAATGGAGCCCAAAGCCTATATAGAATGAGATATTTGCTTTTAATTCAAAAATAAAAAAACGAAAAAAGTTTATATAGAGTCGAGACTCTAAACAATCAAATTAGAGCCTACCTCAAAAATTTCATAAGAAGAGCTTGTTTTGATGCCCAAATATCTTCAAATTGATCATCTCGACATCAAGATGCATAGATATATGATAAAGTTTTGGAAATAGTGTATTTCGTATGGTATTTTTGGACCATCAATTTTCAAGTTTTCATAGATCTATCGATCTACACTACTTTTTAAGCTTTAAACTTTATAAATAACATGAAAATACATTTTAAAGCTATTACAAATATTTTCAGCATTGAAACCACATTTCTCGATACTATTTGAAGGTAGGCTCTAATTTGATTGTTTAGGGCCTATGCTTTAAACAAACCGCACCCAATAAAAAACATTGTAAAAGTTGGAGGTTTAAATTTTCAATTTTAAGCTTATCATTTGAATTGCATTGCACGGTTCTTTCAAGAAAAAAAAAATGTAGTAAAGAGACGGCCTGCAACCAAGAGCCTCAGTGGTTTCAAAGTTTAGTTGATATGTCACCATACAAACCAGTTTCTCCCTCTCTCTCTCTC